AACCCTCGGGCGGGAGCGCCGCCGCGCTTCCCAAGCGGCGCACTATCCAGTGCGCCACGGGCCGGCCCTTGTGCTGTTTCTTCTATCTAAAGTGTTCTGACCTCCCTTCTCTGCTTAGTAAACTGCTCCTCGTTCTTCAAAATCTAAGTCTGTTCTCACTTAGACACCGACTCCCTCCTGTGCTCCTGAAGCTCCTTTTCCCTTACGTATCAACTGGCACTTAGCAGGGACTCCATAAATACGTGTTAAAATGAATGAACTAACAAAGCTTAAAAAGATGGAGCAAAATGGAAAGAATGATTTATGGCAAAGTTAATTGTAAAATGCGAAACTTAGAAAGTTTAAGTTTAGAAAGTTTAAAAACATCGCACTTCGTCATTGTGCTACAAATGCAGGCTCACCCTTCGTTTCGTTGTCTTTCCTGCTGCATCTATTACATTTCTGTTTTTCATATTTCCCACTACAGATGAAATTTCTCCTGAGCAGGAAACTGCAAAGGATATTGTCGCAAAGATTTACGAGTCAGAGGAGGAGTGGGAGAGTGAATCTTCATTCTATGATGACTTGAGTGAGCCGTGGGAAGAGGAAGTGGAAAGTCTGGTTGCCTGGACCAGCTCTCTCAATATGAACACTTTAGAAGATGAAGCCTAACACTCCAGGATCTAAATAACAAACAGCCTCAACCACAGCTCCGCTTCGTGGAGCAACTTCGGAAGGATCTCAAATCTTAGATTTCATTTTTTTCAAGTTGGTCTCATCCTCTCCCTGCAAGTACAAATTAGAAATATAAGTGTGATTCAGTGAAGACGCTGCTTTGCCTTTTTTGAGCTCTACTTCTTTGTGGAACAAAGTTAGCCAAGTTAGGGATATTCATTTTTGTGTTCCCATCAGTAGCATTTATGTCCTCACATTTGCTAGGCTATTGGACTCGAGCTTTCGCAGGCAGGACAGGGGCCAGAAAGAGGCTGGGATAGGAGGGGAGCGCTCAGGAGCTTCAGAGGCTGGACATTAACCCAAGCAGAGGGATTTACACATTCATCTATGCACGCCTGGTTTCTTGTCTTGTTTCCTCCATATTCAATGTTCCTCTTCTGTTTTCTGCCAGAGTACATGCCGTTTTCTCCTTGACCCCCTCAGTCTTATATCTTTATTATCTCCCTTTTTTGCAATGTTACCTCAACCTGTAAATATGCTTGGGTCTCTTCTGTTCTAAAATATGTCTCTGTCTTTCACCCTGCATCTCTACCTCGCTCATATTTTGTCAGAGTTACTAATAACAGCCTATCATTTGCTCTCTCTGTTTCTTTAGTTCACTTCACATCTGCATCCATTGCACAGTAAAATCTGTCTTCTGCTCATACGATGCCACTAAAATTTGCTTGGATCACCAGATATTTTCACATTGCCAAAACTCAACAGATGCCGTCTCTTACCGGGCCTGTAGGCTGTATTCAGTATGACTGATCACTTCCCTTTTTGTGAAATGTTTATTGCCATGCCTTCAGAGAGACTTATTTCAATTCCTTCCTACCTACACACACATACATCTCACAAACACCACACACACACACACACACACAAATATATGTGCCTGACCTTGGGTCTAGTTATTAAATAGGTCTCTCCCTCATTTCTAGGGAAACTGATTTTAGTTCCCATAGAAAAAAGAAGAAAGTTCTGCTACATGTCCTCTGGTCTCTTGACACTTCCCTGGCTAGCTACATGTTTCCAAATCTGCCTGCGGCANCGTCTCTGTCTTTCACCCTGCATCTCTACCTCGCTCATATTTTCTGTCAGAGTTACTAATAACAGCCTATCATTTGCTCTCTCTGTTTCTTTAGTTCACTTCACATCTGCATCCATTGCACAGTAAAATCTGTCTTCTGCTCATACGATGCCACTAAAATTTGCTTGGATCACCAGATATTTTCACATTGCCAAAACTCAACAGATGCCGTCTCTTACCGGGCCTGTAGGCTGTATTCAGTATGACTGATCACTTCCCTTTTTTTGAAATGTTTATTGCCGTGCCTTCAGAGAGACTTATTTCAATTCCTTCCTACCTACACACACATACATCTCACAAACACCACACACACACACACACACAAATATATGTGCTTGACCTTGGGTCTAGTTATTAAATAGGTCTCTCCCTCATTTCTAGGGAAACTGATTTTAGTTCCCATAGAAAAAAGAAGAAAGCTCTGCTACGTGTCCTCTGGTCTCTTGACACTTCCCTGGCTAGCTACATGTTTCCAAATCTGCCTGCGGCAGTCCAGAAAATAGGACCCCAACTGATTGTATGCCTGACACTTCTGCTGTCCCCACAACCAGAATCACACAGTTCTGGCAGCTATCCCATATTTCTCCCTCCTTTTGACAATGCCAAAATATAACCAAGAGTCGACTCACGATCCCCACCTGACTTGATCTCAATTAGGAGAGTTCTTTTCACACCCAGTGAAAAGAGCCATTCTGAACGGCCCATCCCTCACCTCAGTGAAGCTACAGAATGTAGTTGAAAGATACGTTTTGCTGATGGTCACACCAACAGCTGGGCCTCCAACCCCTCTCTGGTGGCATTCTAGGACAAATATGCAGACTGTCAATAGATAAACAGCCGTTGCCAAGAAATTAAACCCAAAGGGACCATGACAGTCAACCAAAAATATTTCCCTGTTATCAGCTGCCACATATTTTATCCTTTCTATTTAATCTCTTTCATTCAGAACAAGGAAGTTATACTTGTTGCTTTCTATTCCTGCAGCCATAAGACCTGGGGGTCGAGGTAGAGTGGTAGAAGAAGGTAGGTGGACAAAGAGTCTTTGGAATAGAGACATTTGTCAATAGAACAGGATATTTATTTAATTACCTTCATTATATCTCCGGCCGTACTTTCTGGGTCTCCAATAGGGATTTCCCTTCTGCTCCTGGTCCTTGGTAAAAGTTCTTATAGGATCCAGCCCAATGTTCTTCTCTACACATTTCTCTTGGACCGTCTTGCCACTATCAGAATTTTACTGCCCACCCATGTTCTCATTCTCTGACCTTTTTTCCCACCTGTGTCTTAACTTCAACGTCCCCTGTGCATCTGAAATGCACCATGTCCCAACTTAAACTCATTTCTTCCTCTTCTTCCCACCCCACCAGACCTCCTCCTGCCTCTTGTTCCTTCTTTCAGTTAATGGAACAATCTCAAGACAAAAACTTGGGACTCACTGTAGAGTTTTCTCTTTCACTTATGGCTAGTTAATCACCAGGACTTGCAATATTTTCTTTTAGATGTGTCAAATCCAACCTTTAGATGTGTTAAATTATCTCTGTCCTTGCCATCTCTTTATACGTGAAGCACTTTTAATCAACAGATGAGAGTATACTTTTCTTTGGTAACATCGCTCATTTTCCTATAATTTTCAGAGAACCTCTGACTAATAGGTAATGTCCAAGTCTTAATGCCCTTCATGAGTCAGCCCTCACCCACCCTCTGCACCACAACTCCCTACCTGCATGTCCTAGTCCTTTCAGGCTGGATCACTTAGAAAAAACAGAAATTTATTTCTTATACTTCTGGAGACTGGGAGGTTCGATATCAAGGTGCTGGCAAATTCGGTTTTTGGTGAGGGCCCATTTTACTGGTTCATGGATGGCTGTCTTTTCACTATAACCTCACATGGCAGAAGGGATGAGGGGTCTGCCTCTTCTTATAAGGGCACAGATCCCATTTATGAGGTCTCTGCTCTTATGACCCAAAGGCCCCACCTCCAAATACCATCACTTTAGGGGTTAGGATTTCAGTATATAAATGGGGGGGAGGGAAAGGGTAGAACACAAACATTCAGACCACAGCATTGTGCTTAATGTCACCAAACTCCTTATACTCTCCCACGTGTGACATGCTCTTACTTGCTTCCCTGCCTTTGCCTTATGCCATTTCCTCTGCCTGAAATGCCTTTTCCCTTCTTTACTTGGCAAACTCCTATTCACCCCTAACACCCAACTCGGGCATCATCTCCACAAAGTCTTCTCTGCATTCCACGCACTCACCCCAGGCTGGGACTTGCTCTCTCTGACTCTCACTCTGTGGGCACTATAGAGTGTGTGTATGTGTATGCAGTTAAATTATATTAACGTTGTCTGTTTGCCCATCTGTCTGTCCCATTAAACCTTGAAAGTGTAAGCCAACCAGACAGACCCCATCTCAGATCTATTCCATACAATAGACTAAGCTCCTATTTCACTATCTTAGGATCTATTGTTAAAAAATAAACAGAAATTTTAGCAAATTAGTGAATTCAAAAGTAACAAAAAAGGAAGCTTTTAGTAACAAGCAGGAGTACCTCAAGAGAGTTGATTCTGGATGAAGATGCTAGGTTTTTTAAAAAATAGCTTTATTGAAGCATGATTGACATATAATAAATTGAACTATTTAAAGTGTACACTTTGATGAGTTTTGATATATATAACAAACCCATGTCATTTTCACCACTATCAATATTGTGAACAATATCTGTTCCCCAAAAGTTTCCTCATGCCTCTTTGTAGTAGCTCCCTCCTGCCCCACTTTCTACCCTCACTTTTCACCTCCAGGAAATCACTGATCTGTTTTCTGTCACTACAGATTAGCATGCATTTTCTATAGTTGTACATAAATAAAATCAGGCTGTAAATACTTCTTTCTGTCTGGCTTCTTTCACTCAGCATAATTATTTTGAGACATTCATATTTTGTACATAGCATTCATTAACTTTTATTGCTGAGAAGTATCCCCTGTATGTTTATGCCACAATTTGCTTATCCATTCACCTGTTGATGGACATTTGAGTTGTTTCCAGTTTGAGCTGCTGTGGCAGAGCCATCCTGAGATAACAATGAGTCACACCCTTGTACAATCCCTTTTTCTTGAGTGAAGACAGAACCTGTGTCTTACTTCTAGTCAATAGAATACAGCAAAGGCGATGGGATAGGCACTCCTGTCATCATGTAATGTCATATAAGACTCCATCTTAGCAGACTAGAGACAGATTCTCCTTCTGACTTTGAAGAAGTAAGCTATCATGTTGTGAGAAGGCTACATGGTAAGAAACTGCTGGTGACTGTAGGAGCTGAGAGCAGCCCTTGGCTGACAGTCAACAAGAAAACAGGGACAACAGTACTACAATCTCGAGAAATTGAATTCTGTCAACAACCATGTGAACGTGGAAGAGGCCTGAGCTCCAGAAAGGAATGCTGCCTGGCCAACACCCCAACTGCAGCTTTGTGGGATCCTGAACACCCATCGAGGCCATGCCCAGACTCCTGACCCATGGAAACTGCAAGATACTGAATGTATTCTATTTTAAGCTGCTAAATTTGTGGTAGTTTTTTATGCAACAATAGAAAAATACAGCCGATAGGAACATTTGTGCACAAGTGTTTGTACGGACATGTTTTATTTTCTCAGGTAAATACCTAGAATTGAAGTATTCTAGGCTGGATCGTATGGTAGGTGTATGTTTAAATTTTTTAGAAATCGCCCAACTCCAGGGCCGGCCCAGTGGCGCACTGGATAGTGCGCCGCTTGGTAAGCGCAGCGGCGCTCCCGGCTGCTCATTGGCTGAGCGGGGAGCAGGGGCAGTGCCGAGGGTTGCGATCCCGTTGCCGGTCCCGGTCCGGTGCGGGCGCGACACTGAGGGTTGCGATCCGTTGCCGGTCACGAGAATATTCTAGGCTGGATCGTATGGTAGGTGTATGTTTAAATTTAAAAGAAATCGCCCAACTCCAAAGGAGTTTTACTATTTTACATTTTCATCAGCAGTGTATGAG